GAAACACGGTTTTTTTTTTCAAATTCTCTAATAATTTCTAGTCACTTTACATTGCAGGTAAATGTTAAGAACAAATCAAAATGACCAAATTCCCTACAAATTGTCATAGCATCTTGATAATTGTTAATCATATATCTAGGACTTCCTGTATACAAAACAGGCAACACAATTTTTTGTCCTAAATTGTTGACATCGTTATCACCTCTTGACATTGCATCAGAAATTCCTTTGGATATTTCACTTCTCAATTTTTTTTTAATTTTGTCTAATGTAATACAATCTATCTTCTTCAATCGTTGCATAAGAATCAACCAAATATTGTTGAAAAAGTCTACCTCCTTTTAACAATGTAGTTAAACAGTTCTCTTTCTTGAATTTGATATGCTATATAAGCTCTCAAAGGTATTCTTTGTCTTTTTGTTTTGAGGCCTTTTTAATTTTCATTCCATTTTAAATCTGACATATACACATCTTTACCGCACGGAAACAGAATAGGATATTGAAGAGCCATAAATTTTGGATTCAATTTTGTTACACGCCTTAATCCTTCGTTTTTAAGTCTATAATGATGTATCTATTAGAGTCAGACAAACCTATATCATCAACTATCAAACCACCTATTTCATCACTTGTTGGTTGATCATTGCTATCATTTAGTTGTCTACCTAATAAAGTCATTGTTAAGTTTATTAGAACATCAGTTTCAAATTTATCTTTGACTGTTCGGAAAAGTTTAACCAACTGATTGCATTCATCAAACATTCTGATCAACTCTTGAACAATTGCTGGATCAAGGTTTTGATTGTTTCCTTCAAAATTAAAAGCACTCAGGCGATTTTGTACTTCATTATATGTATCATAAACATATAACTAAGCAAACTTTGGAGGCTCGTTATCAGCAAGTAAAAGAGATCTCATTAAATGACAAACTTGACCACTAATTTTGAAAATGTAAGGACTTGATCTGTCATTAATTGAGTGATCAACTTTTGCTCCCATTGAGTAAACGAAAATATAGAGTTATAAGCTCAAATATTTTCTCGAAATGATAAACTCTTTTGACCTCCATTTGGATCAAGCAAGCAATTTTAAAAAGTTGGTGCTGGTTTTGGTTTTAGATGTGGAAATATAATTTTTCCTTGTTAACAACAAAGAGTAAAAATGGGTTCATTTTTTTTTCCAACTTTGTTTGAGAGACTCTTTTAACCAAAAATATGCACCATAGTGGACACATTTATAATTTTTATCACCCAAGTCCATGTAATCTTTTGCAACTCCTGCAAAAAATCACATCGAGCAAAGGGGAAAAAAAACAGAAAACAAATAAAAGAAAAAGAAAAAGAAAAAGTTAGTGACAATATGCAATTACCTAAATACTAATGTTAGAACATAGAATAAAAAATAATTATACGAAATTAGAAATATGCCGTTTCTATTTTTTTTTTTTTAAAAAAAGGCTTGGCCCCTATTCATGAGTGCACCGTTTTCAATATTATTTGACAAATTAACAATATTTTTCTCTTTTTGATCACACGTGTACATTTGTTTTCTAAACACGGTGGAATCCACAATTTCATTATAGTTGACGGATCTAGCAACACAATGATCAACAGAAACTCTGCTTGAGAAAAACACAAGTTCAACCAATAAATTTTGAGAAATAAACATGTTAGGTGCGGATAAAACGTCTTCAAAATTTTGCAAACCATGCGCTCTACACATTCTTTTGGATCGGTGATCACATTCGAGAATTATATTAGACTGGCTGTTATCAACGCATTGCTTTCATTTTGTACTATCACTTGTTTGATCATTTAGAGATTTTTTAGACATCATGAAAACAAACAATTTCAGCTATTTGGAAAACAATGAACTGCAAAACAAATTTGTGAAAAAGGAAAAAAAAAATCAATGCACAAATAACTTAGATGCCATTAAGACCAAACAGAAACACAATTTTAAATTTAAAACTGCATTCAAATTTAACATAATGCAAAGAATAAAACTAAATTAACTCAAATAATAGAAAACGAAAACAAAACGGTACAATTAAAGCTTTAATAAATAAATGCAGAAGTTTAAGTTAGTTACCTTGAGGACAAAACACGGCCAAAGCTGGTAAAAAAAATACTTTGAAAACCAAAATCACTAAGGTTTTCCAAATCCTTGTACAAAAAAATATCACAAACCGCACCCGATTTGGTAAATCATATAAAACTCAAAAAACTCATAAAAACGAACAAAATCTCGTTTTCACATCACAGCCAACCACTACAAATATATATTTTCCAACTAGAAAAACAATATTTGCCAGCACGGTCAAAGCTAGCAAAAAACAGTTTGAAAACCTTAATTACTAAGGTTTTCCAAATCCTGTAAAAAAAAATATCACTAACTGTCATCAACTGAGTAAATTGTATAAAACTGAGGAAACTCATAAAAATGAACAAACTCAGCAAACTCATATCAACCATGATAACATCCCACTTCACACATCTATAATTCCCTAATGCAAAAAACCTGAAGAAAAAAAAAATTGACCAATCTAAAAAGAATAATCAACATCCCAGAGTAATAAAAACAGCAAAAAAAAACACAAAATCCATAACTTTAATTTTCTGTGCCTTGAAAAATTGATTTCTAATGTTCATAAACTGTTTAATTTTACATCCTCAAATCTGAATCTAATTAGATACCACATGACCTTAACCATTAACATAAAACCAATTACAAACAACTGTCATTCATTCACTCTAATACACTCAGACCTAGATCCTCATGAAACCAATTTTTAACATCTGGCATTAGGGAAACTTTAAACTCTTGTTTATGCTCTTCTTAAAGTATTTAGATACATATTTATATTCTAACCTATGACAACAATGTAAAAAAAAACATAGTTTCTTATCCAATTTAATCAGTTCACAAACCTCCTTAAGAATTCTCCATTTTAACAAAAAAATTCAATCAGATACATTTCTAATTAAGCTCTAAGATATCCATGTAAACAAAATCATACGAAGCAACGAAATAATTCATAAAAGCAAACCCACTCTCTCAAATCCTGAAATATCCATCAAAAGACAATCACAAAAAATTAAATTTGAAAAACAAAAATATACCACAGCTCAAGGCAGCAATATGATTTAACGACAAAAAGCAATACTAACCTATTACAATAACATCTATAGTGATTCTCTATTGTAAGCAATTAGTTTTGCTAAGCATATTCGATTATTTTGTAAACTATCATTTATTCAGAAACCGAAAATGATTTATTTGCTTAAGTTCTTAATTACAACAACACAAGCATTGACAAACCAACAGAAAACTTGCAAAATACCATAAACCTCCAATTATTTACACCTTTCCATATTCATTTTTTACATCCATCAATTCGACCAACACATGGGTTCATCCACCAACAGCATAAAAAAATTTAAATCACAATTAAACTTAATACTTTATATCATAATTTCCCTCTCAGCGTTCCAATCCTCTCTCAATTAGAGATTTATGAATTGAGATAACAAAAACTGCAATTGATCCCAAAACCAAACGGTTAGGGTTTGGTCTAAAGTAACAAAAATCGAAAATAAAAACTCAAATAAAACTATTATAAAATCTAACTGAGTTCAATAAAATTTGTTTCACCATGATTTGAAGATAGGCCGCTCCCACACAGACTCACAAATTGGGTAGAAATCAAATGACAACGGCAAAACCCCAAACGGCAAAATAAACGAACACTATGAGGTTTTGGCTTGCCAATTGCAAATTTAAGAAAAGGGGCGAAACACACTTTCTACTGTAGAAAAGTCGAAACAACACTCTCAGCACAGGAAAAACCGAGGGCAAATCTGTCTGGACACTGATGATAAACAGTGCCGGGGAAACTCAGTTTTAGTATATACTAGAAATTAGGCCTGCGCGTTGCCGCAGGAACCAGCTATTTCAAGCGTAATCGGATGAATAAAACACATTCAAGTTGAATAAATTCAACAAAATTATGAACAAAGGAATAAATGAGTGAATAAGATCAATAAGATAAGCAGTTTTGTTTTTATACATTCAAGTGAGCTGACATATAAACACATTGTACAATGAGTAGGAAGAAACTGAACGTTTTGATTAGGAAGAGATGGTTACCCAAAAAGTTCTGCTTCCTTAAGAAACAGAACAAACATGTAGTTCACACATCTAATATGTGTCCTGCAGTGTAGGCAGCCATTTCAACTGGTAATTAAAAACAGAAAGTGTTGAGGACTTGTTCAAGTAGCTAATTTTGTAACCACAACTGTTCAAACGCAAAAATAAGCAGGTGGTCTGTTTCCATACGAAACTGAAGAAACAGAAGCAAGCTGCAGTTCACACATATTTTGCCCCTGCAGTTAAGACGGCAAAATATATGCCCTGCAACCTACATACCTCACTTAGCAATTAGCAAAACACAGAAAAAAGGGTGTTTGAGGAGGTAAGTCGTCAAGCACAGATGTTCAAACAAAAAAATATGCAACATGGTGTGCAGTATTCGATGACTGAGAGCAAAACCAACAATTGCATATAGCAAAAAATGAAATAAAAACAAAATCTAACAACCAAAAAATGTCTATGCAGTAGCAATCATGTAAGAGTTTATTCATCGGCTAAAATTCGAAATTTCAGATTGACCAATTACACCATTTCTATAAAATTTCAGTTATGGCATTAGTATTGAGCAAAATTAATATGTTAGAACAGAAACAATTTCTTACATATGTCAACAATCCATAAAAAGGGGTCCTTATTCAACAATAAATATTTTTTTTATACCAAAAACAAAGCAATGAAATAAATGTTTTACTTTGAAATTTCAAATAGACTTAGTTCAGACATTAACAATTTCCATGGAATTTCTCTTGGGTTTACATAGAGAGCAAAGCGAGATAGCTCTCCAGATTTTGAGCAAAATCCCCCTAAACTACGATTAGATAGCTTAAGCTGGGACACATGTAAACAAATTCAATGCTCAAGACCTGAAACTGAGCTCAAAAACTGGAAATCTCACTTCAATTAAGCAGTTTTTCAGATGTTTACAGCTTAAATATGCATGATAACAAAAAAGAAGCATCCTTTCTTGACCAATCGGACACTACCAGAAAAGCCCTAATTCATATTATTCAGATTACAAATACACAGGTGACCAAATAGCTAATAAAGCTAGACACTTTGACCCCAATCCAACACAAAAATTGTTGTGGTTATACATGTGATACCTGCCTAAAATATCAACAATTCCAAATTAAATTGGAAAATGAAATGAAGCAACATAGATTGAATACAATTTGGGGAAAATTATCTCACCTGGAGCTCCGAATTGGGCCGAATCCATTAGGTTTGGGGGGGGAGAGGAACACGGAGCTACTATGATAGAGAGAGAGAGAGAGAGAGAGAGCATGCGTTGTCCTTTTCTTCTATACAGCCACTGGACCGCAGTTCCTTCACAAAAAATTATATGCATGTGTTAGTTTTTCAAGTTGTAGTCTTGCAATCAACTTAATAAGCGTAAGTTCAAACATTAAACGAATATAAAATGATATATGTACTAAAAAAATGTTCCATTTTTACATGAACAACTAAGCAAAAGCATTATTACAACTAAGCATTATTACAACCAAGAATCTAAGTTCATAACCAACAACCAATCATCAAGAACAAACCCCATCAAGCCCGAACCCAAATACAAATGCCACTAACATAATCATCCAAAATTCACTACAACAAACACAAAACCCACCCAAAAATTATCTTCATAAAAAATACCACCAAAAACCTATTAAGCCCAGTCAGTCGATTAAGAACCTATTTGACTAATTCCAACTCAGTAGATAGTCAGATTGTTAGTTCAGGAGAAGATTATTACCCAATAAATAGGTAGAATCAAAGTATGAATATATTCAGTTAATATTACAGTATCTTCATTTGAGCAAAATCCCCCTAAATTTAGCATCCACTGTTTTCATACATTCATAAATTCATTGCTAACAACAAAATATAATGAAAAATAAAAAAATAATAAGGTCAAAAATGGACCAATAGGACCTCTTGCATTCAAAAGTTTGAACCAAAAGTCAAAAAAATTGATATTTTGGATTTCCAATTTCATATCATTTCAAGAAAAGATCAAAAAACTAAATTTTTAACATTCCCAAAATCTGAAAATCCAATCTTTGGGAGAAATCCATGAGAGCATGCACTTGTATCAGTCAAAATATATTCCTTACGTCAACAAATTGGATTAACCAATGAAGCTAATTATTATGTAATTACACATCTAGAGCTATCAGCTATAGCGAATCTTTTATCTTCAACCTTAAATATTACTCCCTTAATTAGTGCTTCTTTTCAGATCACAACATTGGATACGATTAATTAGGTGTTACATCGATGGTGATTTGTGAGGACCACTATGCTAATAAATTCTACAATACAATTTGAAGATCTAATTGCAACAACTCGAAACCCTAGCAAAACGATCAATCGAATCAAGAAAGAGACCTCGAGCGAGGATCATTTTTCCTTGAATATGAATCCACCTCATGTACTCAACTATGATATAAATCCCCATAAATCCATTTTTGGAAAGTACTAAAACACCGAAAACAAATATATGTGTGCACACACACACACACACATATATATATATATATATATATATATCAGTATGAATATGAGGCATTGAATGGTAAATTGGATGAGGAAGTCTAAATAGACCAGTGGTGGCGAGTGGTGAGGATGAGCTTCATACCGACGCCATGTTCTTGGGCTGCTTTCAGAACCTTGTCAGATTCAATTGGATCCACAACCGCTGCTTTTTTTATACTCTCGCCAATAATTCTAATCACCAATAACATAGTTATATTTTCTCTGAGTCATATAGCAACACTCATAGGATAATAGCAAATGAACATTGATACAAAACTTGAATTAGACAGGTATAATATTATTCTCCTTAAAAGAATAACTATTTGTAAGATCATACCTTTGACTTTGGTTGGGAGTGTGTTCTCTGTTACTTTCGCATTGGATTTTGCGGCCAATTTCTGTGAAAAATGAAATATATTGCTTAAAGCGATTACATATATATGGCTATTAAATTAAAACAAAAAGAGGTCGGGGGGTTTGTTAATGGATACCTCTCTTTTATCGACGCTTTCATCACTTCTCAAGCTAGCAGATGATGGAGCGGCCTTAGTAGTATGTTAGATACCATTAACCGATCCCCATGCTAAAAATTTCTGTAAAATGAAATGCCTAATTAGTACTAAATATCTCATGTTAAGCAGAACAGATGAATCATATAAATACAACAACCCAGAATTATGATGTTATACTCTTCATCCACATCAACTTATTATGAAAAAATACATCTTATTGCAATGCACCAACAAATACTCAATCAACATAACCGAATCTACACAATGCTTTCGTTCTCTACTAATTAATCAATGCAACATTTCAAATTTCCTTTCCTCATATACAGTAAGTATTCAAAGTCATACCATCCCAATCCCACATAAGATAGTACACCTTCAGAGAGATGCCAGCGGATAGCCAAAAGATGGGTTTCGTGTTACAGAAACGACACCTTCCACTGTTCATGAATCACTGCAAAACAACACAAAGTTCTTATGCCTACACTACATTTACTAAATCAATTCAAAATGGTCCTTACAGTAAAAAAAAAATTGCTCTATAAGTAATGCATGGTGTCAACTATATCGAATGTCATTATTATGTGAGAAAAAATAAAAACCCAGAAATTAAAAGAAATAACGCGGAAATTCCAGATCAAAGTGACAACTGAAGACGCCCAAAAATATCAATTTGGGAAATCATGAGAGCAAGGATCAACTGAGAACTCACTGAAATCGAATAGAATGGTGAGAACGAAGGAAATATTATACAATAAATACAGAAGCAGAATTTCCTACAACAAATAATAAGATTCCAGAGTCGCACCAATGGAAACGTAAATCACCATATATAAGAAGACAAAGTTTCTAGCAATATATACAAAAACCTCTAAAAAAATCCACCTAAACTCAAAAAGGAGCAATTCCATTTCCTTACATGGTGCGACAGACAGTGGGTTTCACAGCTATTAATCAAAATACACAACACGAAAGCCTGTTTGAGTTAGAACACTATAACGTGAAATCCACACACAGTGGGTTTCACCAAGGTCCACATATCCAATCCAAACTACATGGCTAATATTCAATAACATGTCCAATCTTTAAGCACATTTACCAAACAGATTTAGAACACTATAGAATCTACTTAGTAGCAGAAGCAAACACCAGGAAATTATGAAGAAGCACATAAATGAGCATAGTGAAACCAAAAAATTCGAATGATGGTTTTAACAAAGCAAACGGAAAACAAAACAATAAACAATGATTTTCAAACAGTGCATAACCCGTTGAATTAGAGGAAAAAACTGAAAACCCATACCCTTCCATACATCTCTCTGTCATTTTGACCTCACTGACCCCGTGCACTAACCCATTAATTAACCCCAAAAAATGCACACAACCATGCTCTCTCCTCTCCCTCTCTCTATCTCTATCTCCCTGTCCACATCTCTTTCTAAAATGATAAATCCCCAAAAACCGGACCTAGCATACTAAACAATTCGAAAATCTAAGCTACCATTAAAGAATATAATTTAAAAAACAAACTTGTCTTTGATTTGAGGCATGCATCGCAAGATCCGGCACACCCCACTCTCAGTAAGGTTTGTTCATAACCCCTACCCCTGTCTCCCTGAAATCCTGACTACCCATACGGTCTTCTCTGACCATACCTACTCTCCCACTTATGAAATCCAACTCTCTCTCTCTCTCTCTCTTTCTCTCTCTCTCGCAAACCCTCCATCCCTGAAACCCTAGTTGAACGACAAATGATACCTACCCGGTTACCCCCCATCTCGCCCAAAACCGATAGGACAAAATTGCCCTTTCTAACTTTTACATTATAGAACAACGCAGCAAAAACTCAAGCAAGAAAATGAACACATACCAGTGATTATTTCCTCATAGGTTATTCCCAATGTAATATGTTAGATTGGATAATTTCCAGAAATAAAATAAACATTCCGAAAGGTTCAGCTAAGTTTCTTGTTTCTCCAAAGAAAGTTACCTGTAAATGAAGAACATCTGCTAATGGCAACCTCTTCAAGTGAGGGAAGGTAAGCAGTTGGGATGGCGTTTGCCCAAAGTATGCAATCTGGTCCTGTGTTGCACGCTGTTGTACCTGATTTTGGCACAGAGGAAAAAAGAATGTCCTGAAAAAAATTATCAAACAATAATGGAAAAAATCATACAGATGCCAACATAAACTATACTTACTGGGTCTGAGATCTTATCAATATCCATTGTCCCTTCATAGGTAATGTAAAAGAAAAAATTATTTGCCATTATAGCTTCTTTGCCACGCTGCTTATACCTGTATATTCCAATTTATTAATGAATATAACAGTTTCAAAAATGAAACATTCAAAGTTGATATAGTCTAGAGTTGTGATGAACTTATAAAAGAAAAAGTTAAAAACAAAATGAAATGAAAGAAAAAGAGGTAGTTACAAACAAAAAATAAACTAAAATTAAAAATCTCCAAAGTCCAAAGAAACCTACCCGAATATGAGATCAATCCATTCACATTCAAGAGCCCAGGTTGTTGAAATACCAGCCACAACAATCTTACCATCAACCTCGTCCTGCAAGGAAATGAAGTTAAACTTAAAACAGATCATTATGGGAACACATGTAACCTAAAAAATGTTATGCATTAAACTTGTGCTTCCAAGCATATATTATAGATGACTTGTCCTGGATGTTCTTCTTATATTAAAGAAACCATCATTATTGTTGCATACACCTTAAGCTGTGATAGTAGCATATATACAGCCCGATAAGCATGGTCTTCTGTGCTTTCCACGATAAACATATACTCTAAGGGACCACCATAGAGAGAAGTGACCTGTTTTCGTTAATTAAACAAAATAGTGCATACCATATTGGAAGAAAACCTTGGATACAAATTCAACCTATTAAATCAGTTAGCAGGAGGATTTTGAACACTTCACCAGATAAGACATCCCTATAGTGCAAATACAGAAATTTAGACATGCCCACCAAAAGAAAATATAGCTTAACTATGTTAATCTAATATCACAAAGATATTGAGTTTCCAAGTCTCAGACCCAATAGAGTGTAATTTAAACTTTTTATGAAGAAAAACCTAATTTTCAACTCGAAATTAATACAAAAACATGATTGGCTTTGACCACTCTCATTCCAAATGTTCTAGCGTAGCCCCTGACTCAAGGGCTCACCAAATGGGTTTTCGATTTCTGAATGAAATTAGAAGCCTAAGTAATGTTTGATGGCATATTGAATCATCAAGAGCAGGATTCATATGTCCCCTTCCTTGCACAGAACCTAAATATGATTGAAAAAGAATAATGAAAACCTAAACGAATTACAGAGGAACTAATGGGTTTATTCATCAGCAAGAGGAAGAAAAAAACGACATACCTTCCCGACGCCACCTCAACCCCTTACGTTGTCCCATCACCTCGATCCGATCGAATCATAAAGGCTCGGCTCGACCGAAACGAGGCACAGCCTCTCTCACCCCTTGAAATCTGAAATCCCCACCCCAAAAAACCACGCACGGGCCTTCCTGACGCAAAAGGTGGAGTAAGACGACACAGGCGAGAGAAGGGAGACGGCGGCGAGAGGAGGATAGGACGGAGGCGAGACCGTCTGCGTCATTCTCGCGGGGTCTGCAAGACGGAAGAGGCAAGGACGGTTTGAGAAGGAAATGGAAAAGAGCGGTTTTACCATTGTTCTTCACTTCCCACGATCATCAACACCAGTACATCAAGATTAGCGGCAGAGAGAGGCTGTGGCAGATTTGTAAATAAGTTGAAAAACACTGTTCATTCTACAGTGCCATTTCCATGCTTTCTTTAGAAAAAAACCGCCAGGCCGAACCCAAAACTTCCACAAAGCCCACTCATTAAACCAATGGTATGATTGTAATTAAACTGAAATTCAGGTACAATGAACAGTCAAGAACAATGTCAATTGCAATGCTTTCTTTAGACTAAAGTAATCCCCCAGGCCGAACCCAAAACTTCCACAAAGCCCACTCATTAAACCAATGGTATGGTTGTAATTAAACTGAAATTCAGGTACAATGAACAGTCAAGAACAGGACGAATTGCAATGCTTTCTTTAGACTAAAGTAATGATGATGTCGCAGTACTCATTCAATTTTTTTTTTTTAAATCATTTGAAGAAGCTTCCTGAAAAGTGCATTTGTGATATAATCACTTTCAATTTTTCACGTCAAAAGCTGCTATAAACCCTTTTGGTTATTTGAAAACGCATTAATCATTTTAAATCCATTATTGTTAAACACGAATCCAGATCTTCTTTATGAGGATCCTGAATATCTATAAATCATGTCCGTTTATCGTACATCGTACGGTCAGAAATTATTTTAAATATTTTTATTTAAAATTAAACACAAACAGTACATGACAAAAATTGATTACATGATGTACGATGAATGGACATGATTCATTGATTCCAAAGATTCTTACCAAAATGATTCGGAGAAGATTCTGTTGGATCAAACACGACCTACTTGGCATTTTTAATCCTTTTAAAATCATACACACTCACACACACACACAACCACATTAACTGTATTATTGTAGTGATTCTAGTGATCACACAAGCCTGCCGTCGTCCAACATACTGATACAGTGGCAATGCTCTCACTAATACAGGTTAGAGGTGCAAACGCGGTTAGGCCCATTTAAGGTCGTCTCATGTGAACTTAGGTACCGTTTGGTACGTGGGACGAGACGGGATGGAAAGAGACTAGCCGTTCCGTCCCACGTTTGGTGTGCTTAAAAACTGTGGAATGGATTGTCCCATGGGACGAAATTTGGTTGATTTTTCGTTCCACCTCTTTCCCCTGGAACGACCCGTTCCACATCCGTGGAACACAAATTTATAACATTTTATGACAAAATTTCTCCTTATCTTTTTCAATATTTACATCATCCGTTCCATTATATTCCGTCCCGTTCCGTCCCGTTCCGTACCAAACGGTACCTTAAGTCGCGTTTGAGTCGGCTCATTTAATAAAAAATTTGTACTTGGGCCGAATCAATTAATAAAATATTTAACCCTGCCTAGCCCTCGAATCCTGGCCTTTTAGGACCTATATCGTGTTGTCTGAGTCATTAAACAGGTCGACTTCAGCAAAACTAAATTTTTAATTATTTAAAAATTTAAAAAAAATTATCTGGACATATTACTAAGCTAAATATAACTAGTATTAAGTTTTACTAACCTTAAAATGTATGTTTGTAATTGAAAAAAATAATGAATAAATGAGATTTTCCATAATGAGTTAGGGCCGCACGCTGTGCTCGGCCTATGACGGGGCAATGGGCCGTGAACTGGTCAGTCCATTATGTCTATACCTTAGGCTCGGTCCACCCACTTTTTACAAATCCTGTCACGTCGTATTGAGTTAATTTTTTTTTAGTACAATGATAAATTTTACTTAAATTATACAATGAACAATCTAATTTGGTATCGAATTAATCATCTACGAGATTCGAATCTAAGACGTCTCATTTACAAATAAAAAAGTAATACAACTAAATCGTAGTACTGAATGACCGTACTATTTCTTATTTAAATAAACTCGAAACATATTGTGCCTTATTTAAGTAGGTGGTGCTCGCCCTTCAGCACCCTGGCTTCTTCGATTAATGCACTAATTAACTCAAAGATACCTTACATAAATACATGAAGTAAACCCCACCTTTCACGTTTCAGACACGTGATACCTTACAATCTAATCAGTACCCACTGCTATCGTCATACACAGCAGTCAGCCAAATGAAAGGGCAGTAATTTTTTCGGTTTATTTAGGACGAATGAGATCCTCTATCGATTTTTTTTTTTTTAAGGATTTCAAGAATCATTCAATCATATCAATTAATTGTATATTGTGCGGTCAGAAATTATTATAAATTTTTTATTTAAAATTGAATATAAATAGTATATAACGAAAACTGACTGCATAATTTACGATAAACGAACATGATTGAAGGATCCCTGAGATCCTCACAAAGATGATATGTAGAGGATCTTCATTCATTCAGGACACCATTGTATCATCTTATTATTTTTCTTAAATTATAATATATATATATATATATATATATATATATATATATATATATATATATATATATATATATATATATATATATATATATATATATATATATATATATGTTTTTTTTATTGATGTAAGTGGGACGTTTTAATCAAGTTGTTAATTCTTATTAGGAAAATAGTGGGGAGATTATGTTTTTAACTCCTATTTGTAATCTTATGATATAGTTGTTGATGGTTAAATTTTTTATTTAATTATTTAAATAAAAAATACAATCATTAATCGTCGTATCATGCAATCTACAAAATATGATTCAATTAAGGGGTGAAAAAAAAATGTTACTTGTGTTACTCATAACCATAAAGAGATGAAGAGAAAAATAAGAATTCAAACTTGGAGACCCATCATCCCATGTGAGCTTCAAAACCCAGATCCACACAAATTTTAACGTACAAAACACCACCCACCACCTCTCCAAAAATTGACGGACCACAAAAACCCTCATCAAACTCACAAAAATCATTACCATGTAACTTGATTTGCTCAACACACCAAAAATGGAGACGTTGAGCACGGCAAAAGATCCGACCAATAATATGACCAAGCCCAATCCTCACCCTCACCGCCGTCACCTCCACCAAAAATCTCAAACCTTACCGCCCTCACCCACCCACTCCTTCCATTCCTCCTCCTCCTCTTCCTCCGACTTCGAGTTCACCATCTCTCTCTCCCCTCGCAAATCCTCCAACGCCGTCTGCCCCGCCGACGAGCTCTTCTACAAAGGACAGATCCTCCCTCTCCACCTCTCCCCTCGCCTCTCCATGGTCCGGACCCTCCTCCTCCCCTCCTCCGCGTCCTACTCTTCCTCCTCCGACACCACCACGTCGCGTGACTCCACCGGCAGCTCCTCCAACGAGTCACGAGATTCTACCTCCTCTTTTGCCAGCGACCTCGTGCTCTTGGCAGACCAATCATGCGACTCCTCCCGCCGCCCCAGCTCCGTCACGGAGGAAAACAACGAAGAGTCGTTGTTCAAGCGCGCCTTCAACTATAACAACAACAATAAGTACGTGAGCGTCCACTCTAACGACGGCGTTTCGAAGAAGAAGTACTTCTCGTTATCGAGATTCTCCTCCGTGTTCAAGAAGGAGCCGAAAGTGCAGAAAGACAACACTCTAGATCCTCACAACAACGCCGCCACGGCGGGGCTCGGATCTAACAATGCAGTGAAACCTAAACGCATGAGCACTACTGCCAAGGAGGTTATTAGTAAGTACTTGAAGAAGGTGAAGCCCTTGTATGAAAAATTCTCCCAAAAACAACAACAACAAAAAATGGGGGCAGGAGGAGGAGGACTGGGGGTCACGACCACAACAACGAAAACACCCGACAAATGCACGGCGACGGCGGCAAGGAATACTAATAAAGATTATGGCTCTAATAA